TGGAGTCAGGAAGATTCATTTCCCTGAGTTCAAATCTGGCCTCAGACTCTTATTAGCTGTGTTACCCTGGGCAAGTCAATTAACCTGATTTGCCTCAGTTTCCTCATCTGTAAAATGAGCTGGAGAAGGAAATGGCCAACCATTCCAGTATCTTTGCCAAGAAAACCCCAAATGGGGTCATGAAGAGTAGGACACAACTGAACAACAACAACTTGGGCTTTTGAGAGGGTCTTCACTTACAGGTAAGAGAACAGAAAGTCAAGGAAGAATGTTTAAAGAAGAGCAGTGACAATGAGCCCCAGAAGCCAAGCAAACACCGAGAGTCCAGAAGGCAGAAGGCGCTGAGTGACAGACAGATGAAACAGCCAGGTCGAGGATGATGATGACTGAGAAATACTATTGGATCAGGCAATTAATTTAGTATAAAAGACCTTTTCTGTAATGCTTTCAGAAAATGATAGGTATTGGAGGCAGATTTCAAGGAGTTAAATGTTGAATTGGTGATGAGGAAGGAAGGCCGTAAGAAAAACTTGCTAGGAATTGAAGTGATAAGCAAGAGAAAGACAGTATAGTAACTTGATGGGAGAATAGCTACAGAAAAAAAAAATTCTCTCTTCCCCCATCTCCCCAATTATAGAACAGACTTAATCATGCTTGTTGACAGAAATAAAGGAGGCAATGGAACGGAAAAGATTAAATATGCATGAGAGAGAGGAGAGGATTAATAAAGAAAGATCTCAGGGGAGTGTGGGCATCATAGGGCAGTGGGAAAAGTTCTGGATTTAGAATCAGTGGACGTGAGTTCAAATCTCGGTCCTGCTACTTACTATACATGTGACCTAGGGTAAGTCACTCCACCTTCTGGTTTCAGTTTCCTCAGCTATAAAAGGAAGATATTGGACTGGGTGGGCTCTTAAGATCCCTTTCAGTTCTAAATCTCTTTAATCTGATGGGGGAGAGAGAGAAAAGATCAAGGTCAGAGTTGATAGGGTTAGCCTTGGAAAGAAGGAAGGATATCCTGCTGAGACAGAAGGGAAAACAAAAAGAAATGTTGGGTAAAGCTGAAGAAAAAACAGACAAACAAGTAAGTCTAGAGGCATGAAGTAGTACAAGGGAACTCCCTTTGCATGACTTCAACGTTTTCAATGACCTAGAAGCCAAGGTCATTTTCTGAGAAGGATGAGCCTAGAGGTTAGGAGTTTGAGGAAAGTGGTAAAACTCTGAAATGGTTCCAAGGGGCAATACAATAGGAAATTGATAAAATATGAGTAAAAGGACTGGTAAAGAGTAGTGAGGACCAAATCATTGGTAAATATAGAAAATATTTAGTAGATCCAATCAACTTCGTTTCTCATCTTTTATTGGCAATGCTTGGCAGGCCATGAAGAGGAGGAGAAACAGGTTATTAAGGAAGGAAGAGCAGAAAGTCAGGACGACAACAGATTCTAGAGTGTTGGTGAGCATGGAACTGAGGTGGCATTCTAGATAGATCGATGGACTTGGAATCAGGAAGACCTGCGTTTAAACTTACCTCAGACCTTTACTAATTGAGTGACTCTGAGCAAATCATTTAGCCTCTGGGTAGGATGGCCTTCATGGCCCCTAAGGAATTTTCCAGCTCTAAATTTATGATCATGTGACCTATGAGCTGGGTTCCAGTTTGAAAAAAGAAACAAGAGAAGTCAGTGTTGGAGTGATGCCTCCCTTCAGTGGTTCAAGGATCCATGACCTACTCCATCACTGTGCATTCATTTACCTTGCAGCTTTAGCAGGCAATCAACAAAGGTTTATGAAGTGCGTACCATGTACCAAGCACTGGGACAAGCACTGAGGACGCAAACAAAAGCAGGAACAGGCCCTGCCCTCCAAGTTCTCACAGTCTAAAGGAGGAAACCGCAGGAGAACCACGGGACACCTACAGTTTGTGCGCAGAGCAAACGGAAGGCAGTATCAGAGGACTGGGGGCCTCAGGAGACGAGGAAAGGCCTCCTATAGCGTCTGTGTGAGTCCAGAGGGAAGTCAGGGGAGTTAAAAGGCAGAAGAGAGCAGGGAAAATCTCACAGGCCTGGAGGCCTTCTGGATCAAAGCTCCAGAAATAGAAGATGCATGTAAGGGACAGCACAGCAAGACTCCACAGGGCTCGGAAAGGCGAACATGTAAGCAAGCTGGAAAGGGAGAAAGGCACCAGATCGTGAAGAGTTGGGAAGCTTTATTGATTGATGAGACTACATGCGTACACATGCACACACAGGCATATATGTGTGTGCTGCCTTCACACACGTGTCTGTATGGGTGTCTACATGTATGCAACAAGTATGTATAAATACATGAAAGAGAGGAAGATTAATGAAGTGAACAAGCGCACACACACTCACACTCACCCCTCAGAATCGTCAGAGTTCACTGAATAGCTGAATGATGCTGCTTAGATACGGCCCTGGAATAAAATGAGACTGCTGGTGTAGGGGTTTGGGGACAGGAGCTCTCTGCCTGGAGAGACGCTGGAGAAAGTTGGAGAGCAGATCTGGAGGGATCCAGCTGTTCATCACATAGCAAACGCATCAAAAGAGCAAGTGAGTGAGGAGACCCCTGACAAGTTAGAGTTCAGAGTTACACCTCATTACTGCCCCTGGGCAGAATTACTGAAACCATGTTCTCTTCCTCCTTAAGTATCACTAGGGGTACTTCCAGTCCTTCGCCCACCTTCACCACTTAATCTTTTTCTATTATGAGATAGCTGGCCTTAGGTTGTAGTAGAATATAAGCTCTCTGAGGGCAGGGACTATTTTATCTTTGACTTTGTCTCCCCAGAGCAGTGTGTGTGTGTGTGTGTGTGTGTGTGTGTGTGTGTGTGTGTGTGTGTGAGAGAGAGAGAGAGAGAGAGGAGAGAGAGAGAGAGAGAGAGAGGGAGAGAGAGAGGAAAGGGAGAGAGAGAGAGAGGGAGAGAGAGAGGAGAGAGAGAGAGAGAGAGAGAGAGAGAGAGAGAGAGAGGAGAGAGAGAGAGAGGGAGAGAGAGAGAGAGAGAGGGAGAGAGAGAGAGAGAGGAGGAGAGAAGAGAGAGAGAGAGAGAGAGAGAGAGAGAGAGAGAGAGAGAGAGAGAAGAGAGGAGAGGGAGAGAGAAGGGACGGAGAGAGAGGGAGGGAGGGAGGAAGGGAGGAAAATGTCTTGGGGACATTCTACTTAGCATTTTTAGAAACTAATGTCCCCTGAAGTCATTGTGTTAAATCCATAAATTAGTTGAAGTATTTAATTGAGATGAGAGAGTATTTTTAAAACATTGTAGCTGTTTCCAGAAAGTGAAGAAAAATCTCTTGGAGATTAAGTGAGCAGTAGTGACTAAAACCTGGAAGATCTGGAGACATTTGGCAGTAGGTTCTCCCCAATTCCCCTTTCCCTCCCTCCAACACTGAGCTCATCCCAGGCAGCCTGACTTTGTTTCGTCCTTTCACTATTTCTCCATTTCCTGCTGTTTCGTTTGTGTACAGTTTAATAGGTAAGCTCTTTAGAGCAGGGCCCTTTGTCTTCTGTGTCAAATGCTTTTAAACAGTCATGTTTCCTTATAATACTTTAGCAACAAGAATAGAGAAAGTTGACAGAGTTTTTTTCCCTTTTCTTCTCTTTTTAGGGGGTTTAGTATATGTGACAGGCATCAGGAGAACAGAAATTTCCCCTGGGACTAGGGGGAGCACAGGATTGTCACAGATAGCCTAGGGCAGCGGTGACCCTTACACGATAATAATACTGTGTCCTGTCTAATAGACACAAAACCTTTGGGGACAAGTCCTGCCAAATTTTCTCAGATCAGCTTCACTAGGTTCCTAGATTTCTCATGATGACAACGTGCAATACTAAAAAGGCAGCTTAGTGACATAGGGGTTTGGATTCTGAAGACTGGAATTCCAATGCTGACTCAGATGCCTATTAGCTGTCTGTCCCTGGGCAAGTCACTTAACCTCTGTTTGCCTCAGTTTCCTCATCTGTAAAATGAGAATGGTTATTACTTCTTAAGGTTGTTGCGAGAATGAAATCAGATAATATATGTGAAATGCTTTGCAAACTGTAAAAGCCCTACGTAAATTTTAGCTCTTAAGGTACAAATCATCGTGCATCTGAACACTGCAGTAGCTTAGATCAAAGGCTGAAGTTAGAGGTATAAGGCTCTGATAGTTTGCCACTAACTAGATAGGGAACCTGGGCTAAGTCTTCTCCCCTTTCTTGGCCTCAGTATTCTCATCTGTGAAATGAAGGCTCTTGGAAAAAGCAGAACGGAATACTGTAATCTAATAACTAAGCTTGGCTCCTAGGAGAGTGGATAAACTGGGCCTCGATCTCCTTTTAGTAGAGGTGAGGGACTATGGCTGTTAAATAAATACTACAGAGACTGTCAGCTCTGATTGATTTGTAGGTTAATTATTCTGTACTGCTTTTTTCCTTTCTCTTTCTTGGTTACCAGGGACATATTTGGAAGTTAAGGTAAGTTAAAAGCAAAAGATATCAGTAATAATGAGATTTTTAAAAGAAAGGAAAAGAAATGAAAGGTCTTGCCTGGATACTCTTGAGATCCCATTCTACTGAAACACTCTTGTGAATCTAAAGGTACTTAAAACATGAGCCAAAAGCTGGAGGAGGAGGTGATTGGAGAGGGGCTGGGAGTGGCAAATTGAGGTATTTTGAGGTATTCTGAAATCGTGTTATAAAGGTAGGTCATGTTTTGCTTAGATGACTGTCCCTGTTCGTTGTAAACCAACAGCAGAAGACTAGCCATAAGGCCAGAGATGGTAGGATTTTAGAGCTCAAAGGTACCTTAGAGTCCTTCATCTGAGGCCCAGAGAGGTGAGATTCGAAGTCAGGTCCTCAGATTCTAAATCCAGTCCTCTTTTTGCTAGACTGCAATGAATTTCTTAGAACCCTCTAATTCCAAGGAATCTTTTGGCATGACAAAAAGTATCTTGGTTTTCAAATCGGGGCACCTTGATTCAAAATCCAGATCACTTACTCACCTCACTTCTCTGGACCTGCATTTCCTCATCTGTAAAAGGGAGAGAACAACGTCTATGTGATGACCACTTTGTGGGGCTAGCGTGACATTTGAACAAGATGGTAGATGTCAAGCACTTTGTAAACCTGAAAAGCCATGCATAAATGTAAACAATGGCTATGAAGACCCTGCCAAAGCTGTGTGGACTGTCTTTACCTTAGTTGAAGTCACTTCACAAACACTGAATGAGGGGAGCCCCTGAATTATGGGGTGTGGGCGTGATTCCAGTCAGTCACTAAATGTGTCCTGTCCTTGCCAAACTAGCTGGCTGACATTTCCTTCATCAGGTCAATTCCTTAGACAATGAACAGGAGCACAAAAACAGTCCAGAGAAAAAAAAATCCTCCAGCAAACACAATTAACTAACCATCTATTGTCTCTCTCTCTCCTTATTAAAGGTCAAATAGGATTATTGCAACTAATTACAGGTGCCATGAGTTTGGCAAGATCTGTTGTTATCATAACAGAATCAGGCCTGGTTACTGACTTTGTAAGAAGCAGCCTGATACAAGGATTGACTCACCTGGGAATTTAAAAATTCCTTTTTACATGATTAAGCTTTGGAATTACAATTTATTGGATCAGACCAACCAAATAATCCTGGTCAGAAATAGAAGCTCTCTTTTATCAAGTTCTTTCCCTTTCCATCTCTATGTAGACTGCTTATTTCATGCAAGTCCATGCCAACTACACATAATATGAAGAGTATGCACATATACGCAGATACATAGAATGTAGTTTGGGCATTTAATGAGGTAATTATACATGTTAACTGGTTTCCTCGAGAAATCAGAGATATAAAGTTTCCCACCATTCTTTTCCCCTCACAGCTCCATATTTTATAAAGCTCTTATTAATTTGCAAACCAGTTAATTACGATTCCCCCAGACTAAATAACTGTACAGTTGGAGATGTACTAGATGAGTGGTTATGGCAGGGGAAAGCATTTTTTTCTTTGCCTATTACACATATTGTTTTAGGTAATTAACATCCACTTTGTAGTGGCAACCCCGACGCCTCGCTGTCTGAACAGTGCCTTGGCTTGAGGCCCCTAAAGCAGCCCTGGTGCACTTCTGGCAAAATCACGTGATATTGTTATATAATTCCAAGGGATGAAAGCCATTGTGTAGATTCAGGTTGATTAAAAGGGGATTTAAATACAGATCTTTGTAGACATACATAGCTCTACACTCTCTCTCTCTCTCTCTCTCTCTCTCTCTCTCTCACACACACACACACACACACACACACACACACACACACACACACACACACTGGTCTTTTTGCATGTATGTCTCTTCCCAGGTTCAATCTCACAGTTTTCAGAAAAGTGCAAAAACAAGGCAGCAGATGAATTCTTGCAGTCTTTTCCCAGAGGGCAAAAATCAAAGCAATGGTGTGGGAGTTGCTAAGAGGGCCATTTTGACTCTGTGTAAAGGAAAACTTCCTAACAGTCATTGCCATACCAGAGTAGAAGGAACTAACTCAGTAGGCGGCGGGTTCCTTCTCACTCGAGTTTTCAGTGGCTACTTGTCAATGAAGGTATCATTGAAAGGTTTCCTACTCAGACATGGGCTGGGCTAGATGGCCTTTGGGCTTTCTTCTAATCCTGAGATTCCAAGTTGACCCCTTTTATCTTTGTCATTATGTGTGGGTTTCAGTTTAGGGGGGGGGGTCTAGACCAAAAGAAGAGGTGATGAACATGAACAGAAAATGCTGAAGGAAATTCTTCTCTCTGCCCTGTCTTACTCTCTGCTTGAATTCACCTACCTCTATGGAGAGGCTGGAGGACTCCATCTCTGGAATGATTTCTCAAGCAGTCATTCCTTTCCTTCCCATCCTGTGGCCTGTGTGATCACCCTTCTCTGAACCAAGGGGGAGACAGTGTGTGTTGTCACAGTTCAGTTGAAAATGATCCCAAAATACTTGGCAATCCTCAGCTTTCTGAGTGAATTCCTTAGCCTCAGAAGACATGGTTATAGAGCATTTAGAATCATTTGACCCATGTAACTCAAATTGCTCCCATTAACAAAAAGTTATGCAGAGCGTTGTGCAATCTAAAGTAGTATTTCTCAATAACCTTTTGCATTCCTGTCTTCTTAGAGGCTTCAATAATTTATAATCCAGAACGTTTTATTTTGTCTAAATTTAAAACCCCATAATTGAAAGATATAAAGGGGCAGGGTGGGGGTGGGGGAGCAGCTCTGAATGCAGACTATTAGAGCTGGACAGGGCTTTGAAAGCAAAGATCTTGGAATGTCAGATTTGGACGGCACCTTCAAGTATTTAGCATAGAATGTCAGAGGTGAAAGAGACTCTAAAGATGGCCCAGTTCACCCTCCACTTCTTACAGATGAAGAAAGGCACTGAGGCTTAGAGAAAGCCAAGTAACATGTTTAAAGACAGTAGAGCTGATTTAATGACAGAAGAAGAGCTAGCAGCCAGGTGACCTGAACCCTCGCCCAGAATTCTTCCCAATATGCAGTGTTTCTTCTCACTCCTCCTTCCTTTTCTCACCATGGGAAAAGGACTTAGGTTGCCAAATTTATATCCTTTCTGGAGTAATGTTTTTTCTATATTAGATATGCCTCCTTCTTCACATAAGTCCTTGTAGATGGAATAGTGAAAGGGGACACTAACTATGGAGTCAAAGGAGCTTGGTTAAAATCCTGCCTCAGACATTTTACTACCTGTGTGACCCTAAGCAAGTCACTTGCACTCTCTGACCCTCAGTTTCCTTATCTCTAAAATGAGAAGGTTGAACTAGATGGCCTCTAAGGTCCCTTCCAGCTCTGTGTTTAATGATTCCAATGCCTCATTGTGGCATTGCCTTGATTCTGGGTTCTTGAAGGGTATGCCAGTGTAGAGCAAGCCCTGCCACTGAGCCTGGAGTACACACTCAATGTATTTTCGTCTAAGGACCAGACTAGCTAAGAAAGAAGAGGTTAGAAGATGTGCAGTTAGGAGTGATTTCCCTTCCCTTCCCTTCCCTTCCCTTCCCTTCCCTTTCCCTTCCCTTCCCTTCCCTCCCTTCCCTTCCCTTCCCTTCCCTTCCCTTCCCTTCCCTTCCCTTCCCTTCCCTTCCTTTTTTCCTTTCCTTCCCCCTTTCCTTTTTCCTTTCCTTCCCCCTTTCCTTTCTTTCCCTTCCCCCTTTCCTTTCCTTTCCTTTCCTTTCCTTTCCTTTCCTTTCCTTTCCTTTCCTTTCCTTTCCTTTCCTTTCCTTTCCTTTCCTTTCCTTTCCTTTCCTTTCCTTTCCTTTCCTTTCCTTTCCTTTCCTTTCCTTTCCTTTCCTTTCCTTTCCTTTCCTTTCCTTTCCTTTCCTTTCTTTTCCTTTCCATTCCTTTCCCAACTTTCATGCATACAGTCTACTTAGGGAAGGGATGGCTACCATTAGCATCACCAGAAGGAGAACCCATTTCGAAAAACTTGTGGGGCCTTGAAGAGCTGAAGTTAGATTTGTCCAGTAATGCCATTCATTGCTTCTAACTCCCCTAAGCCATCATTAGATCTTGGAGGGGTTTACCAACACTTGCTAGCTGGAAGGCTGAATAATGGCCACAGCTTCCCAAACAGAAGAGAGCCTCCTCACTTTGGAGCGCTCAGTACAACATGCTAATCTCAATCCATTGTCTAAAAGATGTAAACTGATAAGGCTTCTTCTAGAACTAGTAACTGAGGCTGTAAATCAGCCCCATAAATTGAGCCAGTGCACAAGTCACAACACAGCTATGCAAACAAGAGGGAAACTGAGAGAAGGAAGGACATACATCATGTACTGAAACAAGGAAAGGCCACACCCCAAAGAAAAATGGTTTCGTATTTGTTGGAGTAATTTATTATTTACCTTTTTGGCTGGTTCACAGTTGCCAATATAAAATACACTTTAATGATCATGTCATCGAGTGTTTTTCCAGTGAGGGTTATGCCAAGTAAGCAAAGGAGTCTGTGAACAGGCTGAACAGGGATGATGACCCTGTACACATCTTGGGCCTGTGGTGAGAAAGTCTTTGGTGAATTTGGGGTGCCTGATGACACTCTCACACCTGTCATCATCTTCTTGATGGTCATCTAATCCCATCTCCCCATTCTATCAATAAAGTAACTGAGAGTGAAGGATAGGAAATGACTTATCCAAGGTAATGCTGCTAATAAGCCATGATTAAATTCAAATGTAATCTAACAGACATTTATGAGTCCCAGTGTGCAGCCACTACACTTAGCACTGGGCATATAAACAATAAGCATTTATTAAGTGCCTACTGTGTGCTATGAGAAGTTCTAGGAAAACTAGCACCACTGGTATGAGGGCTTGCCAAGACGTTTCTGGGCACCTTTGGTGCCCACCTGTCGCCCAATTCTCACCTCTGGCTTTGAGAAGCTGTAACTTGCACAGAAGCCACACCCTGATAAAGCTATCTCTGCAGATGGGCTAAGGTTGAGGGCAACCAACAGGCCTCACATCCACAGGTCAGTAGGGAGGTGTCTTCCTCAAGCACGTAAAGATGTTCCTCAGAGGAAAGGATGGATGAGAACAATTTGCCCCAGTGGCCATGCAAGTAGCTGAAACAGGCATTGTAGAGTGCTTAGAGCTTGGTTAGATGTCAAAGATGCCAAGGTCACCCGTTGCATCCTGGGCCATTGCCAGTCCTCTTGACTTTTGTCTCGCCGCTGGGCTTTGATGACTCTGGAAGAGAGTGTGAGGCCTACACGTTTGTGTAATTCTGCTTCACTTAAATCCGATTCGCACACGAATCAAGACATCGCCCCATTATAGCATCGGGTCTCTTTAAAAATGGAGGGCAAACCACAACAGCAGCAGCTGTGTGCATATAGTCTGCCAGGCACTCAGCAGATGAAGACCGAAACAAGACAGTCCTACTGAGAAGCGATGGGAGACAACATGCAAATGAAATTATTATTACTGTTGTCGCTATTATTAGCGGTGGTGGTGGTGTTATTATAAAAATACAAAATATGTACCAAATAAGGTTAAAGTCAGGGAGGGTATTCGCAACTGGGATGGTAAAGGGCCCGTACCAGGCTTCATGTAAGAAGCTCCATGTGAACTTAGTTATGAAGTGAGAGAATATGTGAGGAGCATGGAAAGTAGCCTACGAGAGAGACAGAGAGACAGAGAGACAGAGAGAGACAGAGATAGACAGGCAGACAGACAGAGAGAGACAGACAGACAGAGAGAGACAGAGAGAGAGAGAGACAGACAGACAGACAAACAGACACAGACACAGACACAGACACAGAGAGAGAGAGAGAGAGAGACAGAGATAGACAGGCAGACAGACAGACAGAGACAGACAGACAGAGAGAGAGAGAGAGACAGAGATTGAGAAAGTCCCTATTCTTCTCTAACAATCCCTCCCTTCTACTGGGAAATATAAAATGTTCACAGATGAATAAATATGAAGTAATTTGAGGAGAGACAAAGCACTAGATTGGAGGGGTTAAGAAAAGGTTGTGGGAGAAGGCACTTGAATTAAGCCCTGAGGCAAGAAGCAGCAATGAGGAGGAGTCACTTCCCAGGCAAGACAGAAAGCTTGTCCTAGGACTGGAGATGAGAGATGGAGGGTCCTGTTTGCCAGCTGAGCTGAAACAGAGAGTTCATAAAGGGGAGTGATATGGAATAAACCTAGAAAGGAAGTCTGGGACCAAACCATGAAGGGCTTAAACACTAGGGTAAGAAGTTTTATTTTATTGCCAAGGTCCAGGACATTGTCAGGCTTACTCAGTAGAAAGATTTTGTTTTTGTTTGTTTTTTTTTCAGTTAAATGGAAGATCAATTGGAGATCAGACAAAATGGAAGCAGAGAGGCTTACAAAGCTACTATAACATTGCAGGTTGAACAGCAGAGCTGAGATTAGAACATAGGCCTCAAATCCAGAGTCACAGAATCTCAGTTGTGGAAAGAGTCTCCAAACACAGTGAAAGTGTTCTGAACACATGGTGGGCTCAATGAAGATGTATTGCACTTGAAAGGTGAACACCATGAAAGATTATTTTAACTAATAATCTAGTTCATTTCTCCCTTTTGGGGCCCTGGAGACATCTTTTAATGCCCCGAGAGAAAACTGGAGCAATTAATACTCCATCATTCTAGAAATATGTCTGATTAGTACAAATAAAATAATTAGGGGACAAAAAAGCATAGGAAAACAAGAGAAGATATTGAAGATCAAGTATTGGCTCTACTGTTTGAACAGTTACAATCCAAACCTCATTCCCACTAAGAAAACAGAACAATAACCGTAATAGCAGATAATATTCTGTAATAATAGCTAATATTATTACTACTAATAATAACTGGCATTAATATAATACTTTAGAGTTTGCAAAGTGCTTTATATAAATTTTCTCTAAGGAGCCTCACAGCCTCTGAACCAACCCTCTGAAGTTAGCATATGTGGGTACTTAATCCCCATTTTACAGATGAGGAAACTGAGACTCAGAGCTGTGAGTGCTCATGGTCAAATAGCTACCAAGAAGGAGAGGTAGAATTTGAACCCAGGTCTTCCTAATACCGTAATTCTAGCCACCATGCCAGACTGCCTCTAAAGTCCTATCTAGTTTCAAAAAGTTAAAATATTGGTGCCTCTAATTTTCTGGGACTACACCTCAAACAGAAGAGTAAAGGACTAGTTGGCGGTGTCAGAGAGATGTCTCTGAGCACCTCCTTGAATGAAACCTATTCCATAGACAGCATCACCTCTCAGAATGATGTGAAAGCACCAAATTAATTTTTAAAAAAAGCTCCTTTTCAAGGGGAGGGAATGGTTTTATCGATGGATTTCCTCCCAATTTTTTCTTTGCTTTCTTTTGTTTATTCTGTTAGACTTTTCCTTTCTTCTCTGGAAAATGAGAATTCCTAAGTATGGAGCAGAGAATAC